TGTTCTCTACCTCATTGGAAAGCTCTCTTCAATATCTACGCATAGACACCAAGATCGCATAAATCCGACATTGGAGCAGAAAGTTACGAGCAAATCTGTCAAGCATGTTCGAGTTGAAGAATCGACACGGACCGTGTTGCATTCGACAAACTTTTATTTTTGTCAAATAAATATTAAACTTTTTAAATGACTTTAAAAAAATACTAAATCTTTTAAATGATCCAAAAAAATACATAAACTTTTATGCGTTGTCTAAAAAATACTAAACTTTTTAAATGATTAAAAAAATACATGAATTATATACAATTAAAAACCGACGACAACAATTTGACGTGTTTGTACCTCTTTATACCACGTCGGCTCATTTGTTTATTTTGACAACCGTAGTAGAGTTAAGTGTTTTTGTTTTATAAATTTAAAAGGTTTAATATTTATTTGACAAAATCAAAAGTATAGTGTTTTTTAAAAAAAAAAATTGAAAAATTCAGTGTTTTTGAGATTTTCTCAATTAAAATTTATCTCGAGATACAAATTGTTTATTTCTGGCTTGTTGGCCAACGCAAGTCCCATCTGATCAATGATGGTGTCTTGTAAGACATATAGAGTAGAGGGTTGAACGCCTTCTTTTCCATCTATAAAATTTATTTTACAAAATAAATTAAAAAATTTGATAAAAAAAAAATAGACGAGTCACCATAAAAGTTTGTTTTATTCTCTTGAAGTCGCACAGCGAACAAATATCCGTCGCAACAGCTTGTTTGCGACGGATAACGCAAACGGATAACGACGGGGACAAATCCGTCGGTACAGAGTTGTCGCAAATTTGTTTCAGTCGGTTAACCGTCGCACAATTACGACGGACAATTCCGTCGTATTCCGTCGTTAATTTACCGACGGATATAAAACCGTCGTAGACCGTCGCGTTTATATTTGTCGCACATTCCGACAGACTTATCCGTAGCAAACGTTACCGACGGAATCTATCCGTCGTTTATGCGTCGCTTTCTTGATTTCCGAACGTAACGACGGATTACGGTCCGTCGCAATTAACTGCGACGGATTACGACGGATTACGTCCGTCGCAACGTTTGTAAAAATAATTAAAAAACAAAAAATTTATTATTAATTTAAAGATTTTAAAAATTAATTATTAAAACAAATTCATAAATTAAAAATACGAATTAATTAAAAACAAAAAAGATTCATATTTAAAAAAAACGTATAATACAATAATTTAGAAAGAGTTATAATACAAATACATCTACGGATCTACCGGTGCATCGTTGTCGAGATTGGTGGGTGCGTCCTCCGGATCGTCCTCAGGAGCATCTGGCTGCCGAGATGTCGTCGGAAAGCCATATTGGTCGAATATAGGTGGCATGAACGGTGTTAGGCGCTGCATCATCTCCTCGAAGCGTACGATCCTCGCTTCGGTCTCGGAGAGCTTCTGTAGCTTCTCCCGATGTTGCTCGAACTCTTCGATCTTCGCCCGGGCCTCTGCCAGTTCTGCATTCGTCCGCTCTTGGGAGCGTTTCAACTCTTCCACTTGACGCGTTAGCGCGACATGGTGAGTAATCGCCGGAGCAGAAGTTTCTCCCCCGCCCAGTTGAGATGCCAAGGTGCCGATACCATAGATACGGCCCTTGGCATCCGGATGGACAACCTATACAACGAAAGAAAAATTAGCATACAATCATATATTTTTAAAATTCAGAACTATTAATTTTATAAATATTTACCTCTAGATATAGGCTGTTAACTTCGGTTGTCGAGAGTTGTGTAGAAGCAGAACTCTCGTCCATCTGGGAGACTTTATCGTCGATCTTGGACTGCACCAACTCCTCGATCTCCTGGACCCGCTCATTCACATATGTACCGTCCGATCGACGGTGTGTGTCCTGAAGAACTCGTAGAACCGACGGTTCTACACCTTCTTTTTGAGCCTACAAACAAAATAATTAAAATTACAAAATTTTTTAAATAAATATAATTATTAATATAAAAGTTACTTACTATATCCATTGCGACTCTGGCGAAAGATCTTCTACCCGCGGTATGAGTTGCTGGTGCGCGATCCCCCACAGATCGAGATCGTCGGTTGGCTGAGGCGACCCGACTCTTCTCTGCTGCATCCTCTGACTCCCAGTGAGCCAGGAGAAGGTTCCAAACACCCTCGCTTATCCACAATGGCTTCTTTCGACATCCCCCACAGATCGAGATCGTCGGTTGGCTGAGGCGACCCGACTCTTCTCTGCTGCATCCTCTGACTCCCAGTGAGCCAGGAGAAGGTTCCAAACACCCTCGCTTATCCACAATGGCTTCTTTCGACTTTGACCCGACCGATAGATCGTATCCCGGAGTCGATTAGCCAGCACTTGCTTCCAACCGGCATAAACCATATCGTGGTGGCGCTCCTCCCAATAAAAAGCTTGTTGCAATAAAAAAAATTGATGTTAATAAAATAATAAATAAAATTAAAAAAATAGTTTGAATTTGAAAACTTACCGCAAATGCACAAAACCAACGTTCCAGAGTCGCTGGAGGGACACGAGTGATACTGAACCAAGGACCCTGAAAATCAGTCTGGAAGATGCTCACAATTGTCTTCCGTATCTCGGTATCACAACCGAACCTATGCGAGTATATAAATATACTTAGTTATATAACTGTAAACGTTAATATAAAATTTAGAAATGAATTGTTACAATGTTTCTTACCATAAAGTACCGTTGGTTCGCTCTGGGCTAAGGTGCGGTCTCGTCGTACGACGATCCTCGGATGCGAGGATTTCCCTGAGTGATACTGATGAATCACGCGAACAACCTTCATGTGAAGGTTGCTGTGTGGATTGACCCGTGAAAGGTTGATCCAAACGAGGTGTGGGTATTGGGGGCTGCTGAGAAGTAGGGGTAGAAGGGCTAGAAACACCGGATCCTCGTCCGCGAGCTCGGACTCCGCTACCCGATCTACTCCCGGAACGTGACTGACTCATCTACATATAAAAATTCTAAACCCTTTAAACCGTAATATCGCCGACGTAATCCCGTAATTTTGCCGGAAATCGGCCGGAAATCGTTCGGGAAATCCGAAAATCTCAAGATTTCGCCGGAAATCGCCCGGGAAATCCGAAAATTTTCGGATTTCGCCGGAAATCGCCCGGGAAATCCGAAAATCCCAAGATTTCGCCGGAAATCGAAAAATTTTCGGATTTCGCCGGAAATCGCTCGGGAAATCCGAAAATCCCAAGATTTTGCCGGAAATCGCCCGGAAAATCCGAAAATTTTCGGATTTCGCCGGAAATCGCCCGGGAAATCCGAAAATTTTCGGATTTCGCCGTTTGTTCGCACAAATCCTCAACCCTAAAACATCAGAATTAACCCTAAACGCGAACACGGCCGGAACTTCGCCGGAATCGCAGGAAATCGCCCGGGATTTTCGGATTTCCACCGAAAATCGTCCAAAAACCCTAAATTGCAGAAATTCTCCGAAGCATCACCAAGGGAGAGAAGGAGAGAGGAAAGACTTACCTCGCGGCGTCGGACAGCTGGGTTGGACGGTGGGTTGGCAGAAATCGCCGGAAATCGGCCGGAAATCGCAGAGAGTTTCGTCGAGCGGAGAAGAAAGAAGAGGGATCGGGTTATGTATTACATATTGCGACGGAACTTAACCGTCGGTACCCGTCGCTAATGTTTGAACACGTGGCCATTAGCGACGGGTACCGACGGTTAAGTTCCGTCGCAAAAGGTTTTTAAAATTTTTAAAAAATTTGCGAAAATTTCAGGAAAAAGGGCGGAAAATATTACCGACAATTACCGACGGATAATGTCCGTCGCAAATTAGAAAAAAATAATAAAAAAAATAAAAATAAAAATACACACATTACAAGACTAATCAAATGAAAGATACAATACATATTTAATCAAATGAACCATAAGATGATGTCTCCGTTGTTTCGGGATTGGTGTCACTGCTCTCGCCTTCTTCATCGAGGTTTCCAATTTCTAGTTCTTCAACTATCCCTTGTTCCACTGCTAGCGTCTCCACATCAATTGTTTCTGCGACTGCTGCAACCGTGTGTTCTTCCTGTAGCGGGGTTTGTTCCACTGATCCATCATATGTAATGGTCCCTCTTGGATTAATCTTGATAACGGCCTTCCAATCGATGTCACTTCTTCGCGTTTTATCTCTTGGATAAGGGATAAAACATACCTGATCTGCTTGGGATGCCAGTATAAAAGGATCGTATTTTCTATATCGACGGGAGTAACAAATATCAGTGATCCCTGATTTGTTGATCCGTATTCCGCGTCCTGGCGTCGGATCAAACCAATCACATCTGAAAATCATCACTTTGAGTCCAATATGACCCGGGTATTGTACTTGGAAAATTTGCTGAAGAATGCCATGGAAATCTGGTTCATCATCCGAAGCACAATAACTCGAGCCTTTCACACATATACCATAATTTGCCGTCGAACGATGTTGTCCATGTTCATATGTATGAAATAAATATCCTCTCGTAGAGAACATTGGCCAACATTTGACCAGCCGAATGGGACCTTGAACTAACTCGTGTAACCACAATGGATGATCTTCTTGCGATGATTCAATCTGTAAAAAAAAATCAACCAACAATTTGGCATGTGGTTAGTGTTCTTCCCTATGCGATATTATTTAATTAATTACGTACAAATTCTTTTAACCAGGTTGCGAATCCGTTCTCTTTAATCTGGCTTAACTGATCATCGTTTACATCACCGTACGTATTGAATACCTGATCATCAAAAATCCTACAAAAACCACAAGACAAGTTATAAAAGTTTAACTATCCATTGAATTAAAAAATAAATACGTATATACGCACCTTTCGAACGGTAGAACTTCTTCACAGTTCAACAAAACATACGTGTGGACCACATGGTAATCTTTGTCCGATAAATGTGCATCGATTTCTCGACCACAACATGTGTGACGGACTTTCCATAGAACCGGCAACTACACTATGATAGCATTTCGTCGGAATGTGTGACGATTAATTAATCTGATGGAAACATCCGTCGGAAAACGAATTTTTTTGCGGAAAAAAATAAAAATTGAAAATTTAAATAAATTATAAAAAAATATATATAGCAATCAAATATACTTACACATACATATAAACACATACACATATACACACATACACATTCACATTCACATACATACACAACATATACATACACATACATATTCATATATATACACACATACACATTCATACATATACATATTCACATTCACATACATAAATACATACACACAATACACACATTAACAACACAGGCACACAAAATACACACAAAATATACACACATACACATATACATATACATGTATACACATAAAATACACACTCATCCACATATACATATATACATGATATACTTATATACATACCCTGGCAAATTTTAGAAGAAAAATGATTGGAGAAGATTGGAGAAGATTGATATTTTTCTCTCAAAATTTCAAAATCTGAAGGAGAAAGACGAAATCGCGATTTTTATTAAGTGTTGTGACGGAAATTTCTGTCGTAATCCGTCGCAAAACGAATACGAAAATTTGAAAATTTTTATCAAAAATAATGAAAATAAATGAATCAGTATTTGCGACGGAAATCCGTAGCAAATTTTGGAAGATAAATAAAATAAATTAAAAATAATATTTGAGACAGAAATTTATGTCGCAATCCGTCGCAAATTTTGGGACACATTAAAATTTCCGTCACAAATAATATTTTTTGTTATGATGGCAACGTCTACGTCGCAAAGTTTTGACGGATTTTGTGATTGTTTGCTATGTGAAAATTTTTTCCACATTCTGTTCATGAAACCGTTGTATTCCGTCGTATTTTTGTATGCGACAGAATTTAAAACCGCTGTATTCCGTTGCACTTTGGTATATGACGGAAAATTTCGTCGCAAGTTTCGTAGCTATATGAAGATTTTCTTGTTCTTTGAAGATTTTTAAGAGAAGAAAAATACCGTTTAGAATCAGGCTCTAGCAAGCTTGATTCTGAGAGTCGGAATCTATTCTAAAGTTTGGAGACCTCAAGAAGCGTTAATTGGCTTCTTCAACACCTAAGTTGTGATCAATAACCTACAATCAAATCGTGAATCCAAGGGATTCTAATAAAGTTTGTTTTATTCTCTTGAAATTCTTCATCAAAAAATTTGTCCAAATGTTGGACTTGACTTGATTTGCAAAAAAACATCAATATTCTATTGGTGATATAAGTATAATAAATTGTGTATATTTGATATATCCTACATTTAAGGAAGTTGTTGCACTTACGGTTACATACTTATGTATATATACTCAAGCATGCATATTAATAAAGTTACTTATATGGTACTAAGAGCCTAAATTAAACTCCAAAACCTTAGCACCGTCGTCACCGCCTTTTGCACCCCTTTCCGACACCATTGTCCTTTGGTTTCGTCAACCCTTGCTCTCATGACTACTCCTACATCACTGCCAACAGCTGAAGCCAAATCCTCCTCAATAGATATCGTCGCCACTTTCAATCCCAAAGATCCTCGGAAATCTCTTCTTTCTATCGACATGGCAAACGTCTCCTAATTTACTCCGATGAACTACATTTCTTGGAGTGTCCAAGTTCGCTTCTTGCTCGAAGGATATCAACTCGATGTCTTCATCTCATCCGATGGTTCCATTCCATCCTCCACGCTCCTCGAGGGCGCCAGCCTTCCTAATCCTACCTTTGCCCAGTTCATGTAGCAAGATCGGTTCCTCTTTAGTGCACTTCTCATATTTATCTCACTATCCTTGCAGCCACAGGTGACTCGTTCTGTCTCGGTTCATTAGGCATGGAAAACCTTGGCCAACACTTATAGTAAGGCCCCGACATTGATTTCCATGAGACATTCAATCATGTTCTTAAACCGACTATGATTCGAGTGGTTCTCAGTTTGGCTAACCTTTAAGAAGAAGCCATGATTCGAAACAAAAGTCATGGTTAACCTCTAACAAGACGCTATGACTACCCAGTACCCACGTTAAATTGAGTTAGATGTGATCTGACCATGACGGTAATAGTTCAAGTTCTGATCTTTTATCCCCCTATATCATATGTTGAACAAGGGCATGAAGCCAACCACCCTTCAAGTTCAACCGTTTTCTCATCTGATCAATCAACTCACAAAATAGATGAATGATTCATCTAAGCACAACCATATATTTGTACAATCCGATTTACAAACCATAGATTTGTACATTCCGATTTGCACGGGAGATCCAATGATATCTCTCCTGTTAAGAAGGCGACAAATCTCATTTTTACTCTCTATTATCTCCACATGACTCGTAAACGTATATGATCAATGATGATATGATCGTCGGAATGTGCGACGATTAATCCGACGGAAATATCCGTCGAATTTTTTGGAAAAAAAATTTAAAATTTAAATAAATTTTAAAAATATTATAAATTAAAAATTTATAATAATTTTTTTTGAAATTATATTCAAAATTAAAATTGTTTTAGAAATTACAAAAAAACTATCTAAAAAAAATGTTAGAAAAAACATCAAGATTTGCAAGAGGATTTTGGGCATCTTGATCGATGGGTGGATCGGAATTAGCAAGACTCTGAGTTGACGGACTGGCAAATTGGTCGGAGATATGAATCGTTGCATCGTCTCCTCTAATCGAGGAGTCTTCGCCTGTTCTGCATCAAACTAGGCAATTTTTTCTTGAGCAACTATAAGTTCAGTCGAAGTCTCCTCGTGTTTCCTCTTTAGCTCCTCAACTTTTCGCGAGAGAGATACGTGGCGTGCCACTGACGACGAAGACAAGTCACCACCGCCGAACTGACTCGCCATTGCGCCAATCCCATAAATCCGACCTTTTGAATCGAGGGAACCACCTACCAAACCAATATATAATTGATATTAAAAATTATACTATTAAACTTAAATTTAATAAAAATAGAAAAACCTAAAAAAATACTGAACTTTACAATTTGGACAGAAAAAATACCGAACTTTTATTTTTGTCAAATAAATATTAAACTTTTTAAATGACTTTAAAAAAATACTAAATTTTTTAAATGATCCAAAAAAATACATAAACTTTTATGCGTTGTCTAAAAAATACTAAACTTTTTAAATGATTAAAAAAATACATGAATTATATACAATTAAAAACCGACGACAACAATTTGACGTGTTTATACCTCTTTATACCACGTCGGCTCATTTGTTTATTTTGACAACCGTAGTAGAGTTAAGTGTTTTTGTTTTATAAATCTAAAAGGTTTAATATTTATTTGACAAAATCAAAAGTATAGTGTTTTTTAAAAAAAAAATTGAAAAATTCAATGTTTTTTGAGATTGTCTCAATTAAAATTTATCTCGAGATACAAATTGTTTGTTTTCTGACTTGTTGGTCAACGCAAGTCTCATCCGATCAATGATGGTGACTTGTAAGACATATAGAGTAGAGGGTTGAACGCCTTCTTTTCCGTCTATAAAATTTATTTTACAAAATAAATTAAAAAATTTGATAAAAAAAATAGACGAGTCACCATAAAAGTTTGTTTTATTCTCTTGAAGTCCTTCATCACTCAAAAGATTGGTCCGTGAGTCATTCAAAATAGTTTTGAACGTTATTTCCGTTGCGCAAATTTGTTGACCAAATCCAACACGGTTTTGAACTGGTGAGCAAAAATCTCGTGCGATCCTACAGAATAGGTTTTGTCCTTTAGAGTTTGTTTTATCTTGGAGATTTTTCAAGAACTAAATGCCAATATTAGAAATTATACCATAAAGTCAAAGGTGCTTTAATTAAAAAAATTCACATAAAATATAGTTTGCAAATCATGCAAACATATATGCTTTTTCGATCTCTGCTCAAAATCGGTACATTCACGCAAATTTACTTTAACATACACTACAACATTAGTTTTTTTCGGATTCCATATCAAGAAGTTAGGGTTCACCATAATTACTCAAAATTTAAGTACGTGTGTACATATGATCTGACGCCATTAATACGTAATTTTATATCAGTTGACAATAGACATGCATACATATGTTGAAATTGTTTTTTGACTATATAGTAAATTCGTTCTAATTGAAGTGATGGAGGGTATATATATATATATATATATAATTGAAAGCGGTCGTGTTAATTTCAATTAGTAGATTTGGGTTTCATATGAAGAGTAGATTTGGGTTTCTTGCTGCGCAAGAATAAAGATAACATTTTCCCGCTCTTGTTGATTATCACGTGGCAAAAGCTAACCGCCTCAGAAGCACCCTTTTCTCTTTTTCATTTCATCTTCTTCGCTTGAAATCCCTCATTTTTCCCGAGAAAATTTCTGACAAAAGGGTCACAAGAACCGAATCAGAAAAGCTCTATAGGAGGGAGAAGATTTTCTAGGACTGGGTTGCTCTGTTTATGATTCTGTTTCTGGTAAAACCAGAAGAGCAATCTCCCATTTTCTCATCAGCAAGAAAGAGTTCAAGAAACCCCCGCCATTTTCCCGAGAAAATTTCTGACAAATGGGTGGTTGAGTTAAGAACCGAACGAGAAAAGCGCTGTCAGAGGAAGGAGACGACAGCAGGAGGAACAATCTCCCGTTTTCTCGGCAGCAAGAAAAATTTCCACCATTGCCCCGATAAAATTCCTGACAGAGCACGTCCCCATTTTTCTGCATTCACGAAAAAAGGGTTATAGGGAACAGCGCTATCTATCGAAGGAGACGACAAGGAACAGAAAGCACATCCAACTCTTTCAAATTTTTCTGCATCTTTCTGATTTTCTAGTAAGAGAAACGCTACTCTTTTAACTCTATCTTTGTAAAGAACTGAATTGGATTTTGCATATTTTACGGCATAACGTTATTTTATTTATTTTGTGCTTTACTGTGGATGACATGTTTTTACATTTGTAGTC